GTAATCCGCACTGTAATATTAGAACATCTGCCAGGAATGGTGAAAGTTTGTTAGAGGCAGGGCGCAAATTTACTGTAAATGACCTTGTAATTAAGGCACTCTCTAGACATTTACGTCACAAGTAATTTTTTTCCACTTGCCATAAAATTTACTTACACACATAAAATATATATATATATATACATATATATATATATATATATATATATATATATATATATATATATATATATATATATATATATATATATATATATATATATATATATATAAACGAGTGAATGCGCTTTAAAAAGCAAAATAGAAACATGCTTGATTTTGAGAGTCTTCGTATCCGAGTGATAAAACCACGCCGGATCAAACGGCGGTTCCTCCTGCAAAGAGAAACTCATGTTCGAACCCTGCCAAAGGCCATATTTTCTTTATTAAGTTTTCACGATTACGCAGGACTTGAGACGAAATACTGTTTAAAATAAACGGAACGTGCACTCAAATACTATGACCCCCCGGTTGTTTCTCTTTTTGCATCTTTCCTTCTTCCAATCTTCTTTTTCTCCCACCTGGCCACAATGTCCACCCAAGTCCCAAACCAATCTTAGGATTCTTTGAAATTTATTTTCTCTCAACAACTGCAGAATCCCAATATTGACACGATGTCCACCACTGAAGGTCGGGTTTTATTGCTGATGTATTTACCTGTTATTTTACATTACCTTCCAGATTTTCGCGCGCGTGTGTGTATGTGTTTTTATCACTGCAAACCCTTATTTTTACTTCATTTCCCCCTTCGCTTGCATTTTCCTTCCTTCCTTCCTTCCTTCCTTCCTTCCTTCCTTCCTTCCTTCCTTCCTTCCTTCCTTCCCTCCTTCCCTTCCTTCCTTCCATTCCTTCCCTCCCTTCCTTCCTTCCTTCCTTCGCTCTTTCCCTCCCTACCTCCCTTCCTTCTTTCCTTCCTTCCTTCCTTCCTTCCCTACCCCCTTCCTCCTTCCTTCCTTCCTTCCTTCCTTCCTTCCTTCCTTCCTTCCTTCCTTCTCCCTCCTTTCCCTTTCTTCTCTTCCCTCCCTACCTACCTCCCTTCCTTCCTTCCTTCCCTTCCTTCCCTCCCCTTCCTTCCTTCCTTCCCTTCCCTCCCTCCCTTCCTTCCTTCCTTTCCTTCCTTCCCTTCCTTCCTTCCTTCCGTCCTTCCTATCGATAATAGTCTTCCAGTCTTCCACAAACACAACGCAAACATTCACCGATAATGCGTGAGAGCAAAAGAAATGGTAGTAGCGTAGTGGATAAAGCTATTGATTAGATATGTGATCTAGTGTCCGTGTGTTCAATTGCTAACTCTGGTAGCGAAGTGATATACAGCACTGACTGAGCAAGCACTGACTGAGCAAGCACTGACTGAGCAAGCACTGACTGAGCAAGTAGCAAGGCATAATAAGCAACGAATTTGATGCCTGAAGACGTTGAATGAAAATATAAATAATCTGGATAAAAGCTCATCCTATTAATTAAAACTTTTGTAATTTTCTTTTATAAATAAATATTTTTTTTTACATTTTTATATATTTTTTAATAATTCTTGCATTTTCAATTTATAAATAATCATTTTTAATCTTTCTGTGTGTTTAAATATTTTTACATTATTATTTTAAAAAATAAATATTTTTGTATTTTTATTTTATAAATATTTCATCTATTCTGCCTAAATACTGAAAACAAAAGTCATCAACTCTAGAGGACTGACAGTTACATGGCTACTTAGGTGCGTTTTCTTAGGACACACACACACATGTATTTACACAAGAAAATACCCAGGCGCACGGGTGTAAGCAAGAATCGAAATGAAGAATAAAGAAAAATGGAGAAATTGAATTAAAATCAGTAATTTTATCAAATCTATAAAGACTGGTGTTACATTCCAATTTATATCGTATTACCGTGAAAGGAACATGGGATAGCGTAATCTGATGAGGCCTGAGGTCAAAGGTAAACTTCTACATCGAACTTTTAAAGAAACATTTTTCGTTGTGTCAAAATGGAACGAAGGATAATCACTAAATTTGCATGGGTTTACTAGCAATGGTCTGATATATTCGCAGAATAAAATATGTGAATCAATGGGGTTTTGTTTGTTTTTTGTTTTTCTAAACTTTCTCATCATGTTTCTTTAAAATAAAAAATCAAATTGCTTAACTTTCAAGCTATTTACAAAGTGTGGATACATTTTGGGACGACAGTTAACATACACACATACATACATACATAATGTGGACATAGAATCAACACTGCATGGTGTCTCGTAATTCCACGTCTTAAACGGTCGAAGAAATAAACGATGGAAGAAATAAACTAAAAATAACATGTGTAGCATTTAACTTTAAAAATCAGGAGATCAGTTTAATCCGCTACCTTGATCAAGAAAATCGAAGTTTTGACTCCTTGCATACATATTAAGAAATTCCTCTTAAGCACATATGAGGCTGGATAAAAAAATATTATTTTCAATTAACCCACCCCCACCACTGATAATTCTATAATATCCGTGTTTTTCTTCTCTTTCCCTTTCTTATTCTCCTTCTCCTTCCTTCTTCACATTCTTCTCTTCCCTTTATATCACATCCAATATCGTGCGTTTGTTTACTTATTTAAAAAAAAAAGAAAAAAAAAACAATATCGCGTTCATTACTTTTTTTTAATAAAGCGTTATGAAGAAATCACCTGAGGATTCCGTAAGTTTGAAACCAAGCTAGCGGATTCAACTGATCTCCTGATTTTTAAAGTATATATATATATATATATATATATATATATATATATATATATATATATATATATATTTAGAAATAGATTTGAGGAATCTAAATGAAATAATAATAAAAAAAAAAAGAATAATCTACAACCCAGTGTGTCGGAAGATTTTAATTTTTTAATATTTTTTATTGTTATATATATATATATATATATATATATATATATATATATATATATATATATATATATATATATATATATATATTCTTATATATATAAAAAATACTTAAAAAAATGTTCTGTTTATAATAAACAGTATTAACAACATTTACCGGCCTGAATGTCCGAGAAATTTCATAGAAATTATGTGTCGTCCGACAGGAATCGAACTTGTACTTTATCCTACACGGAACCGTCATATAGCCTGATGTGCTATACCATTTAACTACAGAGGAAGTGTCTGGTTAGCAAAGTCGAAACACTGCTTTTAAAAATATTTATATATCGTGTGTACGCATATATATATATATATATATATATATATATATATATATATATATATATATATATATATATATATATATATATATATAAATTAAATTTTTTAGAAAATTTATAAAATAAACATTTTGATTATCACCGGGAAATAGTTTTGAAACAAAATGGCTATTTTTGTAGTGATTTTATAACATGTTTATCTTATAAATTTTCTAAATAAATAATTATATCTGCTCTACTTTGTATTGAGCACTCTTTTAAGAATAGTAATTGTTGGTTATTGGAATTCATTCCGTATACACCAATTATATACTTGTATATATATATATATATATATATATATATATATATATATATATATATATGAATGATATAAATAGAATTTTTTATGGTATGCTATAAGTGCTCAGTATAATATAAAGGGGATAGAGCGTATGTGAGTATAAAAGGACCTGAAGGTCAGCACCGATCGGTGACATTGTTTCATGCATGCAGCCAAACTTCAGGACATGTTTGTTGTGTTTTGGCATGACTATTATATATCCTGGTCAATAGTGCATTACGGCTATTGGGTAGACGGTAAAGTTTATATTTCAAATTATTCTAGTGGCTATTGAGTAGAAATTATTGTGGATCTGAATATGGTTATTTGAGGCTATTTTCTTGTGTTGTTTGTTAACTTTTTACTGATAATTTATAACTGACTACTTAAAAAATTGTTGTTGATTATTAGTGTTATTACATTTACTTGTACTTAAGTATTTATTCGTAGTTTTCTCATTTGTTTATTATTTACTTTATTTGTTTATTTTTTTCGAGTTAGGTTTAGAGAAACTAGTTTTAGATAGTTTTAACTGAGGTGAAGGAAAGAATACTTCACAGTATATAGTACATCAATAACCTTATGCAGGAAATTCTAGCAATACTGTTGTAATACGTTGCTTACTGAAATTAACAAATTTCCCAACTTTCTCTTTATTTTTCTCTCCCTTTCTGAGTTTATTGCATCCCATAATTTACCACTCTATAAACACATGTTAACAGTAACAATGGAAAAAAACATGACTTTCGTGATAAGCGGTTGTTAATGATAATATACGTATCATTAAAATTTAAAAGCGTCGTCCGCGAGTTTATATATACAAAAAAATCTACAAACACTGGATTTACAATTCAATACGATTAAAGATTTTCTAAATTTTCTGTGAAGAAACATTTTCTTCTGGATATGAATCGTGAAAATAAATTGATTTTCAAATGAAATATATATTCAAAGGGAACATAATCATTAGTTTTACTGAGAAAACCTAAATTTCTGAAAGAGTATGACACCAGTTAAAAAATAAAAATCGTTCTTAAAATTCATAGTTCTTACGACGAGATGCTTGAAAAGTCCTCGGCTAAATCGAGACGCCCTTCTAACAAGGAGTTATTTGGCCAAATACAGGTTCCCGCATGTTTAACGAAGTTAAACAACTTTGATCCCAGTCAGTACTTAGATGGGTGACTGCTAGGGAATACTAGATGCTGTAAACGATATGACAGGCCCAGCAAGCCGGTTAATGGATACAATCAATTTATGCTAACAGAAGACCTCGAGATGTAGAGGTACTTCTGTGCTGACAGACCGCACGACCTACCTGGTGTTGGCTGGCAGTTATTTGCTTAGTGAGTCTAGTAGAGAACATTTCGGCATAAGTTTCATACATAATTCTTTTATTTATGAATTATTAATATTTACTATCATTAATATTCTTTTA